TTAAGCAAAATAAACTTTAAAAACTAACACAAAAGAGCTGTGGCTGTAACTCAGGGTACTGTACTTGTTTAGCTCGTGAAAAGCCCTAGGCTTGATCCTCAGCACCAAAGGGATAAAAAGTTTTTTTAAAAAATGAAAATTATTAAGTTATGCATTTCATAAAAATCTGAGTTTGTAACAAATGCTATGGAAAAGCATTAATATCAACTACATATATTCATTTTGTTTACTTCATAAAATTATACTATAACATGGATAGTAACACTGCTTTGGATTTTATTTGGACTCATTCATTCTTCCAAAGATTCCATCGATTTGAGCTTGTATAAAAGAGGCAGCAGAAGCAATCCAAAATATTTTAAGAAAATATCTCAATGACTGTCGGGAGCAATGCTACATAATTTTAGGGTAAAATCATTTGGTTAGCCTAGTTCTCCGGCCTACAGCCCAGCTATGGAATTCCGAGACATAATTGCATTTTGGCCTCCGGTCACAACTGAGACTTCAATGATCCGGTGATGTTGGGATTCTCCAGGACAAGAAACATCCTGGGAGCTAAAAACATCCTAGAAGGAACAAACATCTACTCAGTTCCTCCTTGTTTTGGATTGTTACATCTTATTTACGCAGGATGTACTGAACTCTCTGCAAGTCATTTGTTACATTTTGTTTCTCCCGATGTACTGAATAAAAGGTGTAGTAAGGTGGGGGCTTTCGTTTTTGCTGCCCTGAGCAGCACTGATTAGACCCAAAGCTCAGCTTCTTCTCAGTCTCATTTTTCTACCTTTCATGTAATTCGCCGTGTGCTGCCGTGGCTGGCAGGAGACCAGGTCTCACTGCAGAGGTTCTGGTAACGTCCCCTTCCCCTGTTCCCTACAAATGACTCTTCCTTGAAGCAATCCCAAGAATTAACTGTTACACTAGTGAATGAAAGTAATCTTACTTCTTAAACACACACAAATAAAACTTAATAAAAACTAGCTATCTTCTTTCCCTAATAAATATTTTTAAATGGTGGCTATGATACTAAAAACACGTCAAAAAATTATACACTAAGTATTTCTACCTTTAAAATACTAACAATAAAAACTTTTATGTGTAAGAAAAATATAGACGCTCACCAATTTAACCAGTTGTTTAGACAGTTGAAAGGAGAAAGGTGTATCTAACTTAAAAAGTGATACAGATATAAACCAAATTTACCTCCTGTTCCTGAGGTTTTTGATTAATGAATGCATGCTTTGTCAAATTCATCTCTTTTACGTCTATCCTCCTAACACTATCATATACTTTTCTGACCTTGAACACCTGACTTCTTGGAGTTTTATTTCCATTGTAGCCCATATCGACGCCATTACTGGGGGAGCAAGGACCAATTCGAAATACATGACAAAATATCCTTGCAATCCTTAAAGACTCTTCATTTGTGCATCATAATTGCTAGATAGGCTGAAAATACAAATTAAAATATGAACAGATTAGACAGAATAAAACAAATTATATCAAATACTTATTTTTAAATATTTTCAGCCCACTGTTTCATAATGTAACTGGAATAAAATTCCTTCCCTATCATGATAAGATAGAACTGATTAACAGGAAGATATCAAATATACATTATTTGAATTGTATATAAATGGATTAATTTTTAAACACCTAGAATACAACCGATGATCAAAGCATAAAATATAAATTCTCCATGTAGAACAGTTGGTATCTTTTACTTCCAAAACACCTTTCAACTTTCACTTCGAAAATTGTGAGTCCCGCGGAGGACTCCGAATCAGCCCGCTGCAGACAGGCAGGTCTGTGCACGCCCTACGGAGGTCCTGGGTCCCGCGGAAGACGCCATATCAGCCCGCGCCCCGGCAAAAATCCACTGGACCCCCCACCCCCTACCCCCGCTCCTCTGTACAGCCACCTGGTTCCACACTACAAAGACGCAGAGGACACCGGACCACCAGACCATGGTACTGGGTCCCACTGCTCCCGGCCCAGAGGTAGGGGCTTCTGAGCCACCGTCCCACTGCTCCTGGTCCAGAGGAAGGGGCTTCCTGGCCACCATCCCTCCTGGTGCTCCCAACCCAGAGGAAAGGGCTTTTGGGCCACC